AGCTGCTGCTGCTGCTGCTGCTATGTGCTGTCAAGTCATCTCCGACTTATGGTGACCCTCTGTCTGAAAGCTATCCAGAATGTCCTGTCCATGACAGCACTGTTCCGCTATTCTCGATCACAGGCTGTGGCTTCCTTTATGAAGTCAATCCACCTCATATTTGGTCTTCCTTTTCTTCTGCCTTCTTCAGGGACTTTTGCCTTCTTGGGATGTGTCCAGAGTAATGTTTGTAGAGTTTATATAGTAATTATATAGAGTCATCATCACAGGTCACAATTCTGATCTTAATCTTCTCTCCAACCCCCCAGTTTGGTTTCAATGGAACTTTTGCACAGGGTCACCCTCTACCCAAAGGGCTCTGTGGCCCAAGATGGTTCTCATCCACAGTTAGCCCCTGCTCAGGCAGGCACCAAGGTCACCTGTTCATAATCTTCCACACTACAGTCAGTTATATAGTATATCTATTTAAATTAGGGTATTTCTTTCCAAAATTTTAACTATAAATATTAATTAGCATAAAGTATGCAAATTGCCATTCTCCTTCTGCCCATCATCTTTGGTGATGTAGTTCCTCTTTTCAATCAGTTCATGCATACCATGAAGCCCCAGAGCTGCAGTGTAGACCTCTTTTATTTGCAAGCGTTTTCTCATTCACTTTAATAGAAAGTCAGCTCTGTAATGGGCAATGGGTGGGTTTGCAGAAATGACCCTTTCATGTAGGTGAATGGGGTAGGTTGGATGCAACAGAAGCCTGTGTTCCCATCACAGCAACACCCAGTGCTTCGCATAAGGCTGTCAGAGTTACAGTGATTTGCTAGCTCGCCGCAAAGTGAAAATTTATTTCAAGAAGGAAAAAGACATTTAAGAAAAAAAATTGTCACTTGTATGAACTGTCATTGCATCTTGCCCAGAGTACTTAAGTGCAAATTTTAGGTGATTTTTTAAAAACTTGCTTTTTACCCTTTCATCAGAATGCTTTGAGAAATGCATAGGAAAGGTCAGTGAAGATCAGAGTCTTACCTGAACAATATGCTTTTTTTCTTGCATTAAGATCAAAACTAAACCTTTTCCCTATATTTCTACAGATTATACAGCCTTAAATCATAGTGACTTGTATGGCAGCAAAAAGAAATGAAATGACAAAATTATAAGCAATGTGATAACAGATTTATAGTTACATTTGTTCTAGCCCGCTTTGGAAAAACATCTTGAGAAATGTCAAGTAATCATACAATATAAAGACAAATGTGAGAATAAACATTAGATGGAAACAAACCAAGTGTCAGAGAACTTTCTCATTGAAGATGTAGGACAGAGGTTTCTAACTTTTCTTTGGTCCTGTGGGATTATTTTGGAATTTAAGAAACGGGTGTGAGTATCCACATTAAATGGCTTGCATGAAGGATGAGGCTAGGCATATAATGACTGGCAAGGGGGTTGGCTAGTTAAAAGGAGGGTGGGGAAGATAAAAAGCAAGGCCAAAGACTGAGAGGGAGGGGAATAGCAGGATGAAGTGGTACAGGGGAGGAAAGGTGTGAGGTGATGAGAGAGAGGTAATGCAGTAGGATAAAGAAGTGAGGGCAAGAGGAAGAGTGAGTGAGGCTAAAGAGTGAGGCTAGAAGCTAGGATGAGAAAGAAAGAAAAATGCAAGGGAGGGGGAAGAGAAACAGCAGGGAAAGTGACTGGGAGTAGCAAACCAGAGAAAGAGCCAAGAAGAAAGGTCTGTGTGCATGGAAGAAGCAACTCCCCCTCTTAAAATGATGAAGGGGGTTGAGAATGTCTGAGAAGCCAGGAGTAACGCTTCCAGGAGGCCAGGCTCTTTCACTAGGCTGGTCTCCTAGCAGGATCACCCAAGGCAGAATGGACAATGCAGAGGCACCAGGGAAAGATGCATCCACCAACTGAGCTGAAGAGAATGAAGCTCAGCTGAAGAGAATGGATAATGACCTTCTCAAGGGCAGCAACTGGGCAACAGCTCAGAAGACACCAATGACACATGAAACAAACACTCTGCTCAAGTTAAACAGTATGGGGATGGTTGAGGGCTGGATGCGCGCCTGATGGGGAGTCTCCAGGCAACATGGTGGGGAAAAGGTGGGATTTAAATCTAATAAAAATAAATGGAAGATCTGAAGTTCAAGGAGACAATTTTACCTTTTGCCTCTCTTGCCCTATCTCTTAATTGAGTGTGGGCATATACAACCCTATCACAAGCAGCTTTTGGAATTCCTGCTGGCTTTTTGTGGGAGAGGACCTTGTAATACAACATGGAGGAGTGAAGTTTGAAAAACACAAATGCGCAGACACTTCCTGACTGCATGGAACTGGAATGCTGGCCAGGATGGAGACTTATCCTGGCACCCTGTGTGATGTAGTGCTAGACAGTTGATCATTTGGATGTGAGAAATTCAAGCAACTGTGCTTATGCTGAAATTTGAACTTGAGACCTCAATGGCAGAGGAGGATGCCTTAGGCTCACCTCTGTATGAATACTGCCTGCTGCCTTGCCAAATGGTAGGAGACCTTAATTTGAATACCAAGGCCTTCTTTGAGTTGGCTTTGCATCACTGCATCACTGGAATTCTTCCACCCAGCAAATATATACAGCCCTATCATCATTGTTGTCAACTGCTTATCAAAATTAATGTGTTTTTTTCTGTTGGATAATTCTGCAGTGACAGATTTGATTTTCTCATACCCCTTTTCTACTTCCTTATAAGGTCAATGCACATGGAAAGACAGAGGGGAAAAATGAAACAAAGCCCATGCATTCAAGCAGAGCAAAAGGAAGGAGCCACTTCAGGATCCAATCTGGAGCTGGCTCTAACCTGGCTTTCAGGGGATCAGGGTTCTAGTCCCCTTTCAGCCATGAAGCTCTCCAGATGGCTTTGGGTCTGTGACTGACTCTCAGCCTAACCTATCTCACAGGCTTGTTGTGAAGATAAAATGGAGAGAAGGCTCATGTTACCACCTTGTGTTTCTTGCAAGAGGAAAAGGCATATAAACACCTCACATGTCTTATCTGTTCAGCCGCAGTCCTCTGTGGCTCTGGGGCCACTTTGCTGCATCATCATCTGACAGCACGGCCACTGAAGCTCTCTTAGTCCAAGGGCTGAGTTCAGTTGTGGAGAAGGTCCTGGAAGAGTCTGCAGTCCAGCAGTGGGAGAGGCCAAGGAGAAATGATCCTCCAAAAATGCCAATGCCAGCTTGTTTGGGCATGAAGCTCTAACTACCAGTAACTAAGCCTTTGGAGAGAACTTTCAGCCTATCACAAAAGGGAGAAACTGTAGAAAACCTAAGAAACAGCCAAATGATCTCTGGTCAAGGAAAGGGAGCCCAGGCACTTGGGAAACCCTGGACTGCTAGATTAAGTCCACAGTTGTACTCCCTATTATACAAACTATTCCTTTGGCATCTGAAGATAGGTAGGTGGCGGGGAGTCCAAAAAAGGCCCCACCACCCCCACACAGTTGTTGCATTTCATTCCACTTTTGGGTCATGTCAGCTCTACTGCATGATTTTGGAAAAGCACACTGTCTTAACTGTAATTTCATGGCTGTATGTTTTCTAAAGCTACAGGACTGCTCTCATCTCCTTTGAGGAAGAGCAGAATTCAACTACAATGAATAATTCTATGAATATGTACATTAAGACATACATTTATCAGGCAAATCACAGCAACTGTAAGGCACAGTTTAAATGATGGTTAGTGATTATGACCTTTATCAGGCAGGAGAAAGTGTATTAAAACCATAACTAGAAATGCGCCATTTAAATGCCTTTTTGATCAGGAAAGTGGGTGAAGTATGAGGAATGCAACAGAAAACAACTGAGCAATGAATAAATCTCACCATTTTAAACTTCCACATGAATGAAGACCTCACAAATCAGAACTTGGTTGAGAAAAAAAAAAATCCAAAAGGTGTTTTGCCACCTTAGCAATTTAATTAACGTTCCCATTTTGGAGCCATCAGTGTAGAAGTTAATGTCCTGCTTTTCAGCTTACCAAACAACTGTATTTATTATGGCGTCTGAATAATAACTAATGTATAAACAATAAGACCATGCATAAACAAGGGCTGGAGCTGGGATCTGCCTTCCATGAACAGAAGGTGCTTTCCCTTGATTTGAAGGCATCTGCCCTCTCTCCCACCCCATTAGTAAACCCATTGAGCAGGGTTCCCCAAACCTCTGTGTAGCAGTTCCAGAAGTTTAGAAGGACTACGGTATAGTCAAGAGAGTAGAGAAGTCCTCTTGCCCAGACAAGTCGCACGTGCCTAAACCCAGGGCAACCAGTTAATAAGAAGTTTTCACTGACAACAAGATACTTGGGCTGCACTACCCTAACTCCCATTGAACACAAGGGATTTACTCATTAGCACTTGATAGCATTACATATCAGATCAATGAAATGATAAAATAGGTCAGAGGATAAGCAGGATCATGGCATAACTGTAATGATTTTTACCACGGTTTGTTTTTGAGAAAGATCTCATTAACAGACCACTATACAATAGTTCCTGAGATTTTTTTTACACAAGGAAACTAGTTTGAATTTGCTTAGTCTTTTTCTTTCCAGAAGTATCTTCATGTTGGTAGTATATAACTGTATATGGAACTTAAAATGCTAATAATTATATATTGGGACAACATAGAATGCATAGTAATTGCTAACGATATAATTTGCAAGTATCTCACAATGTTGACAACATATAATTTAATCACAGCTCCAAAAGCAACCTCCCCCAACCCTTCTTTTATTCTATTCAGATCCACATAATCTTTCCTGGTACATCAACTACTTAATAGCTCTTCTAGCTCTAGTTCCTTCTTTCTTTTTCCAGATAACAAATACAAGAAGCAAAAGGAAGTAAAATTAGCCATGAAGTTACAGTACAGTAGCACTAAGTGGACACATGCTTGGTACAAATATGTGAACATTCTGAATAATTATCAGGTAAACACATTAAAGTGGAAGGGAAAGTTACTATAATACTCACTTTTTTAACCAGTTTCCTCTTCTGACATTTGGAGCATCAAATCAAAGGTGAAAATATTTTAGATATTTATGAAGAAACAAGGATCCAACAGAAACAAACACTCCTCCAGATCTGTTGTATCTCCAGTTAGGTTTGTTTGTTTTGGAGAAGATAGCTAAAGAGAATGCTTTGTTTCCTTTGGATCTCAAAAAAGTGAGCTTTCCTGCCGTTTTGTTATGTGCAGCTTGCACTTTGGAGTTAAAAGACAGATCATGTAGGAGGGGCATGGAAAAGGCTTTCAGAACTGTGGGTGGAGGAAATATTTCAAAGATCTGAGAATATCTGAAATCACAACAGGCAAAACAGCCTTGTTAACTGACCTCACAGTGCGATAGCTGCGATTATGTGGAAAGCTGGGCATCTGTAAATTCTGTTTGGGTAGGACACAAAGCATTTCCCACCAGCTGCTTAGCAAATGAACTCTTCCAGAAGAAACAGGACAAGGTCCAAGGCTAGAATTCCTGAAGTTATGACCCATTATGCATTGAAGCAGGTATGTGATGGACCCAACCACCAGGACGGTCCTGGTGCTAGATTCTAGCTGGGGAAATTGGGCTGCTACTGGGAAACTGCAGACAGTGCTATTTTCCATCATTATCGTAGGGCTGATGATTCACATTTCATATGGCTCAGCCTATGTTGGTTTTGCATTATCATTTGGCTGTGACACATGACACAGAGCTGGTAACAAAGGTTATCATAGGTAGTGGACTCTATAGTGGACTCCATACATTACTGAGGTTCCTAGCATATAGGATGAGTAAAGCAGACGCTGAAAGTTGCATGATGCATGTAAAGAGTTAGCATGTGGCAGTTTTGAAAATTGTAAAGCCACTGGTTCACCCCTTTGAGCCTTTTGAATTTCATGCAGGTTTGGCCCTGGAATGCAAGTCTTACAGATTTCAGACAACTGCGCCTCTGCTTGTTAACAACTCCCATGTGATTTTGTATCAGTACTGAGTGGTTTTCAGTTTGTCTGGAGCTATCCAGTTTCCAAACCAAGGTAGAAATACATCACAGTTAGTACAATATAAATGGGAAGTAGGCCTTGAAGATTAACACAGTAATTTAATGTGTTCATGTGATGACATTTGAAAACATCTGCAGATGGACCACACATTTGGCATACATGTGGCCCATTATGATAGCAGATGTAGTCCTAGTGGTGTATTCGGAGAGCTTTAATGGCACACTGCTTGGAAGGTTCTTGCATTTTTACTATGTAGATATGAGGGAAAAAACTGACTATTTGGAAAAAAAACACCTTCAATTTTATTAGCACCTTATTCCCATTACAAAATGTTCACAATCTTATTAGATCATGTCACTTGTTACTGGAACATATGCAGAAAGGAACCACCAGAAAGTAGGATAAAAGTTTCAAAAAGTAAACCGGAGACACTGGAACAGGAAGCGGAAAGAGCAGTGCAGTGGTATAAAAGGCAAAGGAGGCCTGTATACAAACAATAGGAGAAATATGAAGTGAACAATACACGTAAGAGGTTCAGGGAAGGAGTTAGCTAAAAAGTTGGCGCTGCCATTGCAAAGCAGATATTCCAGCCATGATTTAGAACTCACTCATAGTTTAAAGGGATCCAGTTGAGTTGAATGGTGTCCACTTGAGACACAGCCGCCTTGCTATTGTTCCATTGCACTATGGGGCTTAGAGTTAATATCTATGAGTCACACCATGAATACAGAAAAGGAGAGAGAGAACCTGGCATCAAAATGTGCTGGCATTCGAGCACTCTGAATCCACAAAAGTTACTGTCGCAAAATAATGTCAAAATAAGTGGAATCTGTTCCATCAAATTATTTCTTACACAGTATTACAGATGAATTCAATATATATCCAGAACACAAATCAATATAATCACAAAAAAGCAGGTAACAATTAAGAATTACACTTGGTACAAACAATAACAACCTCCTCCCCTGCAAAAAAATGATGGAAGCGCAGAATAATTTACTCAATTAGAGTAATTTTTAATTAATTAAACTATTAATGATAGTTTCAGGAGGTTATCATTAAACTATTGATAACCTCCCGAAAGTGGTTCACATCCTGTAACACTAAGTTTTTATACTACTACTACTACTACTACTAAACCCCACAGGTGTATCTAGAAAAAGGCAAAGATATTTGAAAGTTTCTAACGGGCAAGTGTGAACAAAAACATTATTCTACCCTCTAAGGAACATCTAGTGATTATCCTAAAAGTGTGGCCTGGTTCTAACAGTGAAGTAACCCCATTGTTGATTTAGCCCAGTATTTGCCAGACAACTGTAGATTGTTTTCTCAGTCTCTGGTTGCTTGTTTTCTTCTTTCTTTGCTCATTTCCCGCAACCCTGGTAACCCTGATGTCTTTGCAACACTGCAGTACTGTCATGTAGTATGGCTGCTTTTTAAAATTGCTCTTGCCGGTCTACATTGTAGCCTAGTGAAACCACCAGCAGTTTTGGGATCACATGTAAAGACAACATGGGGTTTAAACAACCCAGAGTTCACATACAGGTTTTCTTTCTGGGTTGTCCATGTTTAATAAACCATGGTTGGCAGTGTGGTTGCATTCAGACATGACAACCCAGAATTCAACAAACTGGGTTAAATAAACCATGGGTTAGCATTACATACAAACTCTGAGGATCAGGGCCTGCAAGTGATCGCAGAACCAGGAGCGCCTTTGTGGGCATTTGCAAGGAGCACCTGTGGAGCAATTCTGCAGTGCAGCAGGAGACCCTGGACACCAGCATAAAGGCTTCCCTGCACTGCCGCTCCTTGCCACAGCAGTGCAAGTGTCCTGGTGTCTGCTTGCGCTCTGCCTCCTGCTTTGCTATGCCTTGTTCCACTTTGTTCCTGCCTTGCTCAAGCCCTGCTCCAGTTTATTCCTGCCTTGTTCAAGTCTGTTTCCGCCTCGCTCTAGCCAGCACCCTTCCTGCTCTTCCTCTTTCCTCTGAGTAGACCCTGTCTCACTCCAGCCTGCTACAACCCTCGCATCTATCCAGTAAACTGACTGTGCTCTGAATCTTTCTCTGTGCCAAAGTCGGACTCTTTTCATCTGTGCCTCTGACCTGGACCTGCTGACTCGCCCCTGGCCTCTGGCCTATAGTGAGCTCCTGCCCTGGACCTGGCATTCTGCCCCTCCTTGCTGTCACCCACAACCCGGCCCTCACACAAACAGTTTTTCTGCTGCCTGGGCAGATCATCATGAGATCTTTGCTGATTTTTCCTGTCATCTTCCATGTTCCCACAAAATCTCTTTGAAGGAGTGGGGAACACCAGGGGTTGCACAACCAAAGAAACTGCCACCATTTTATTTCTGCCAGTAGGAGTATTCTGAGCAGACCTTCACATGTCAAATTAGAATTCCAGATCCTGATGATAACAGAACTAAATATATTGTTCAGCATCCATACCTTACAATATTTGTAATGTAAAAAAGCATCATCTCTTTCGGGTTTTTTGCCTTGCATTTGTTCTATGTTATTAATGCCCAATGAAAACTTGAGTTCACGCATTCCCACCACACCAGCAGCTGCTTTGTTTGGTACTACACCATTGTCACAAGCAAAGTTTTGAAAATGCAAAGCTATTTCAGCTAGCATCCACAGACTTTTCCTCCAAAAAATTATGACTCTTTGAAAATCCTGAACAAGTTTTATTAAGACATTCATTCCTCTGTTACAGAAGATTTTCTGGGTCTGAAAACAACATCTTTAATAGACCCAGACAGTTCTTGGAGTTCCTTTCGGATTGCCTCAATGCTTTCTTCTGCATCCAGATTATTGTCCACTGAATCATCATCGCCTTGCCCGATTTTCTTATTTTGACTTATCAGTTGTTTCACCACTAAGCCTTGGTATTTGACAAGAAGGGAATGCTGCTCCTGAAAATAAGAATAATAAAAAGTGGCTATTATGAAGACAAAGTGCTAACTTCAAGTCAAATGTTGTCATATTAATTTATTAAAAGGAAGGAATAAGAAGACATAATTTTTAACATATCTTAAGGTATAGGATAAAACAAAATGGATCCATCTCAAACTATCTCTTAAGTGTCATTAAAAAGTAAGATTCTCAAAATGCCAGTGCTTTCCTATCTTTTATGAAGAGGAAAAATATCATAAGGAACCAGAATAGGTGCATCAGTTAAAAAAAATTAAACAGAAATACCTCTGGGATCTTTGTACTTAAGAAAGTAATGATCTGTGGCACACATCTTCCTGGTGCATGAAGCATACAGTGTGTTGAGGACTGGAACAGTAAGACTGATGTCAGGTGCAGAATGAGAGCTGGGTCTTCTGTGACTTTTAGCTGTTCAATCAGAGCTTGCCTGTGCTGAAACAGGATCTGCCTGAGGCAAGAAACAGGATATATGTTAGAGCTGGGTTCAAGCCCTGATCACAAGCCCTGCTTGCTGGGTAGGTGCCTTTAGACCAGTTCCTGACTTTCAGCCTAACCCACCTCACAGGGTTGTAGGCAAGGGTAAAATGGATAAAAGGATTATGCAAACTGCCATGGAGAGGTAGTATATAAATAAATAATAAAAGAAAACTCAAACTCAAAGACAGCTCAGGTTCCCAAGCACTTATCTGACTTGAGTAGCTTCAGCAAGGATCCTATATGATACACCCTCAGAGTATACATTTCTAATATTTCCCCATAAACCTTTTGAATCTGATATGGAACACTGAAGTTACAGTAAGGATATTCATTACAGATAAGACATATGACAAAGTGGAATATCCTTAGGGACATCTGTGACAATGAGACTATAAAAGCTGCTACTGATTCCTAGCTAGTTAGATATGAATTCACAGTGGAGGGGAAACCAAAGGCAGCTGGTGACTGCAGCTTTTGAAGCATATGTCATCCCTTTGGTTCTACATGAAGTAGCCTTTTAAAAATGGTGTTTGCTGGCAAGGAAAGCACCAAACCAGGGATGAAATTAACAAGGACACTGACAAAGAGGGGCACTGATATGCTGAATGCAATAGTGGACAGGCAGTTTCTCACTCTTGGGTATTTGTGCAAGACTCTAAAAACATTACAGCATTTGTAAGACCTCCGAACATTATATG